AGAATCAAAAATAAGATATAAAGACCAAAGTGTTGGATCTACTGACATTAATTAAAATTGCAGATAATTCTGCACTTATTAAGTGTGTGCACATTACACAGCAGTGTAGTAAGAACCTACATGCTCTCACAGAACTTTTTCTGAATACTGGGCCTGTCTTGGTTCCGGCGGACACGAAACCATCTTTGTATTTTCCGTACATCCCAGTCCAGTTGCTTCGAGAGTCCCTCCAGTTGCCTCGTGTCTGGAGGCTAAAGAGACAGCACAGGACAAATACAACACCAGTCGGTACGACTGTCACACTGCATGAAGAACATATTATTGCGCCTGTGGTGGCATATTCCAGTGGAGTAACATCTGTATTTCGGTGTGCAGAGGAACACTTAATGGACTGCAGAACAAACGTGGGCCTTATGTACCGTTTTGGACTGATACACCCTCTCCAGGACATCATTGGACTGAGCTCGCCGAGGCACTCCCGCCTGAATCTGAAGTATGTGGGCACAGGGCTTGGCCACTAGCCTGTATACACACAGACAGAGGCAAAAAAAAAGAGAGGGAGAGGGAGAGAGGGGCCAGAGATGGTGTGGTACAGAGAGAGACAGACAAAGGAGAGATGTCAAAAAGGAGAAGTTTAAGCAACTTTGTTACAGACTATAAAGAAACACATGAACTATTAGCTACAGATTGATAAGGACTTCCCCTCCACTAACAGGAACTGCTGAGCTTCCAGCTTTTCCCACCAAAGTAATGTTTGACGTGCCGTGTGGTGTGTGTGTGTGTGGTGTGGTGTGTGTGTGTGTGTGTGTGTGTCTTCAGGGGAGGGAAAGAGTACAATAGGGCCTATGGGGTAAGAGTTAGAAGGAATCCTGGGGAATGTAGCACCTAGTCCAAACAGAGCGTGATGACCCATCATGTGAGAGGGTGGGAGAGAGAGACGGGAGGGCCGCCTCGAACCAATATACTGATTTGTGTCACAAGATCATCTGGTTCATCTGGTTGAGTTGACCACTGTTCGAGCTCAGACCCAGAGCCACTTATTACATCGAACTCTCACAAACCCCCCCCCCTACTTATCTTGAGTGGTTTCCCCAACATGGAAAGAGACTGAATGAATAGAAGTACAGACTAGCCTTTGGCCGGGCCCTTTCATTGGTGATTTTACTCTAAATAAAGCACTTCTAAGAAAGTCTGCATAACCCCTAATTTAGCTGAACTCTGCAGTGAAAAGATGACTTTCAGCGAGTGATACACACTGCACAGACCGGTTTCAAAAGGCCACTAACGCAGGCGCAAAACACTCAGTTTCCGGTGATCACATTAGGAATCAAGCTCTGTAATTATTCTAAGCCATTCCTGTTTCCCCCCCCCTAAGCTATCCTAAGAAAACTGACTGCTCAGCAAGGCAAACTGGTGTCTCAAGCCAGTGTGAGTTCATCACCTAAAAGGAATGCTTACACTGTTAATTAAGGGGTTACAGCAAAAACAAACACAACAGTGACTTCTTTTATTCTTACGATCAAAGAATACAAGAATCTTCCCACGAGAAGAGAGAGAAACAGACCATAATTATCTGTCACATGAAGCCCCGTCTATGAACCAGAGGGGATTTTTGTTAGAAGGTACATTTATTTATCATTACAAATCACTTTGTGTGACAGCAACAGCTCAGGATAATAAGCACACAGAGAGCTGTCTCTCTCCAGTTCACAGTTTTGTGTTTATAAGAGAATGACTCATCTGTTAAGACTGCTGCAAGGAGTAGCATTTGTATTGCTGTATTCTCCAGAAATCCCTTTTTTTTTGTGGCTGATTCTTGTTTTGTTTTTTGTTTTTTCCCTTCACGAACAGTTGAAGCCCCTCAGCTGTGCACCCGCACACAGCAGGCACCCAAAACAAGGAACTTATCACTACGTTTTCTGCATTTACCTTTCAAAAAGCTGTCTTAGTAGAAAAACTGCGACAGCCAGGGGCAAGGCGCAAAGGATGTCTCCTAATCGGGGATACTCCACACCAGGTGGCGGACGCTCCAGGTCCGCCCATGAAACATTTTCGGGAAGCCAAAATCTCTCACTCCAAATCCAGTCTGAGATAGAGGAAGTCATCGGGGATCAGGAAAATACGCGAGTCGCAAATTAGGTAAACCACTAAACAGTTACTGTTCGGACATGTGGTGGGATTTAAGTTAACAAAGTGAAGCCCTTTTCGGCAGTGATGTTCCCACCTCCTCCCTAGCTCCACTAACATTAGCTGAGTATCACTTCTGGTTAACTCCTCTGAGTAAACTGCACGGACCGCTAGGTTGACACGTAAGGCTGAAAGGCAACACCCACCTCACTGATTAGGCAACTTTCAATGAAGTTTTTTCCATTTGACAGATGAACTGACTATTGTTAACCCAGTCTTGTGCCTCTCCACCATTGCATTGTGCTTTTAAAAGTAGAGGTAACGATGATGATGATGATGATTATAATAATGGGGATTTAAAGGCAGCTAACGTTAGCTAACGTCAACTGACTCTTACGTTACGTTACGTGTCCACCCCCTGTTTGCAATTAGCGTCAATCGTCATCTAATTAGTCCGCCATTATAGTAAATTAACGTTTAACTGACCATATTTTGAAGTTGTTTGACGGTAAGTTGCCGTAGTTGAAATACATTTTTGAAGGTATTTAACTCTTGAACTTACTATAAGTACATTTTAAGGGAATATCCTCTAACAATTAAAACAAGAAGCTAGTTCTAGCTATCAGTTTTAACGGTAACTTTTCAAGTAACGTTTTCTAACGTTCTCTACTTAGCAACCTAACGTTCTCTACTTAGCAACCTAAGTTCTCTTAGCAACCTAACGTTTGCTACGTAGCTTAATGAATAGTAGCATTTTAGCTGTTAACGCTATTTTGGTTAGTTTACAGTATGTCATCAAAGTCACTAATGTCATTATCCAATGGAGCTTAAATTAATTTTCTTTAGGATTTCTAGTGGATGACTGTCACAAAAAAAGATTAATTTAATTTCCTTCCTCCTAAAATAGCCAATATTTCCACAGCCAGCCATACATAATTATGCATAATTATACACTAAAACTAATGCAAAGTCCAATGCAACATGCCTGGCAATAAATCCTAACTTTGTGACGGTTATGATCCTCCAAAGAGATCATAAAGTTGAATCAACACCTCTCAGCAACAAGCTCAACAAAACCTGAATGTTACAACACAGATGAAGGTAAGATAGGTGTAGCTAATAAATTGGCAACTGAGTGCAGATTTATACTGTGCTTGCATTCAAGATGACCTCTCAGTGCCTTAGGCCTGTGTCCAGAAGTTTTCATATTGAGAGCACATATTTTGAGTTCCCATTAATTGTAGTCATAAAGTAATGTTGATGCAGAGCTTTATGCTTGTAAAGGTGGTTGAATCTGCCACTCCTAAAACGTGGTTCAGATCTGATTTATGTGGGTTTAACCTTAAGGTGTCTGTGTGGTGAACACACACTTATTGCGTGCTCTTTAAGTTCTTAATCCCCTTTACTGAAGTTAGACGTAGTGTCTTCTAGAGGAGAAAAACAGCTTTGTGGGATGCCAAGACACGGTTTGTAAAGACTGTAAATTTTTATTGAAAATAGAGTAGAAGGTTGGAATGGTTGATTATTGACTGACAACACCATCAATGATTTGCAGCTTTAATTCGTAAACCTTTACCTCACTACTAGCCTGCTCTACCAACCTAGGTTAAGGTCTGTCAGTGGAATCTGGCCACACAGCATAACTCAAACTCATTAGGAAACCTGGTGTCCCTGGTTGCACATTGGAGCTTACATTTTACCCTGTGAGTCCTAAAAGATAACCCTTTATACCTGGATTTTTATAGGCAAAATTAGCCATTGCAGTGTCCTTATCTCCCTAAATGTATTCTCATTGTGTAGCTGCAAGCGGATAGCAGCGCACTATAGAGGGAACCTATTGGTTTCCACACTAAAACTTGCAAGTTGTGGACTTTTTATGTACTGTGTAATTTATTCCTTTACAGCTAGCTGGGTGACGGTCTCGACTTTACACTGACTATAAGCACATTCTGTATTAACATTAAGTATGCACTGATCTGAAAAAACACTTGGCACAAGAACTGTTCATACTTATACCACTGGGCATGTGACATTAGTTTTACGCCAATCTATAACGTGGATGTGCACAGTCTTAAAAACAAGTCATATCAGAAGACTGCTACATTTCTGTCTGTGTGCAATCTTCATGCATTATTTAACGATTTCCCGATATGACACTATACCTTTTTATAAAAGCGTGTAATCGGAGAGCGACGTGTATTTGCTTATATATAAAAAGAGGTTTAAGGATTTAAATACCACTGTGAAATCCTTTTTTAAATTTAGGTCACTGCTTTCTTTTCATTATCTTGACTTTACGTCAGCACACATTTCAAAGCATGCTCCAGAGGGTATTTCACGTGCCAATACAACACAAGAACACACCGTTTGTCCCTGTTACAGCACAACTTCACCCTTCAGGATGACATGCAGATCTAACCGTCAAAGCCAGTAATTTATGAATTTTCAAGCGACAAAATAGTGACCTGCAAGGGCAAAACAAAGAGAGGAGGTGGGTGCAGCACATACATGACACCCACTCCCACACTGGCCATCCTTTTATTCTGCATCCTCCTGAGGATTTTTACATCAGTACCAACTGGCCAGAGAGCAGCCCAGCTCCCTGAACAAAACCTCTCTGTGTCAGTATGCAGCTGCAGCTTCCGAGATGCCCAACTCGGATGCATGACCTAGTGTGTGGGGGCTGGGGACTTAAGCCACAAAATAGGGGGGTGGGTCGTGTTTTAGAGGACACTCGTTTGACTGTAGTGTAGCATTTTAACCACATTTGAGGTATCTGTCCACTTACTTTAACCAGTTCTTGCGTCTCGGCTGGCTTCGGTCCAGCAGCAGCAGGGAGGTCCGATACACAGCGTCTGTCATCCCGTCGGCATCCCCCCCCCCTCACTGCTTGGACTGTTCCATTTCGCATCAGAAAAAATCTGGTAGTTGGAGAAGAGTTCTTCATGTCAGGGACTGCTGTAGCCTCAGCACGCAGAGTACTGTAGCTCCTGGATCACCTAAGGTAATATCTCCTCCTGAGTTTAATTCTTAACCTTTTGATTAATATGTTTTCTGTGACCTAGTCCTCCAAAAGGGAATTTCTCAGCAACTATGCAGCTGCCTCTTCCAAAAGTACTTATGTGTTCATAGATGAGCATGCATTTTTGTGTTTACCTTTTTGAAAATACTCAAATCCTTAACCATAAGAACATCAACCACAGTCTTAATAATTTAGTTAATATATATTTATTTAAAATGGATTTGTCAACGTGAACTCTTGTTTTGGTGCTATATATGTTTTCATGATATGTAGTTATATATTTTTCTTTTACAGATAAGCAAATGGATGACAAAGAGCTGAGCGATCCCCTGAATAACGTATCAGTCATTAAAGGTAACCCAGCTGTATTATTTTTTTTCCTGAGAACATGGACAAAAAAGAATTGAAGTGAATGACTTGGCATTGTTTTGCTGTTCAAATGGCTCTCACCTGCCACAGCAGTCCTTACAAAGAACGAGAGAGAGAGACGAGAGAGAAAGCAATGAGTAACTCTTAGAAGAGTGTGTAGCTACGAGGGCAGTTGGTTGGGTTGAGACTGCTCTAGGTGGCCTTGTTTTAGAGGCTGATTTCTCTAGTCTCAACAGCTTATTAAAAGATGGAGTCACTTTTCACAGAGGGCACATCAGCTGACTAATGTGTGTTAGTGACAATTAGGGTGGCTTATTTAAAAAAAAAAAAGAATCCAGTGGATAAAGCAACGCGACGTGCAAGCATATTAGTGAGTAAATCAATTTTGCATGATGGATGAATATGTAATGCTGCACTGCACAGCATATGGGCACTTCCAGGAAGGAAACAACGGTATCAGTCATTTAGAAAATGATGAGGATATTTCTCAGTTTCGGTCGCACACAGCATATTTTGTAGCTGTAATTTAATATCACTCCTAGCAGTTTGATCAGCAGAGATTCACTGAATGCTGTATGTGTCGAGCTGCGCTAACCGTCTGATTCAGTTAAAGAATGCCGTCACATTCAACGGGAAGGAAGCCGACAGCGGGGGGAAGATAGAGCATGATGGCTCTAGCCTTCAGCACTTGAGCTAAAAAAAGACTTTCTCCTACATTTTTTTCTGTCGTCACTTGAGGCAGTGTGATGCCCAATATCCCCCAACTAGGCAGAGATGTATTTTTACACACAGACTAATTCCATTATTACTTTGTCAGGTGTCAGTCTCTGACATTAAGTCGTAATGGCTGTAATAACTAATGTTGCTAAAGATAACACGTTGGACGCCCTCATCTGAAATACTCTCGTTATCTCGTGCTCTCCAGAGGACATTCATCTTTCACACAAACCGAGCACAGACAACCCTACAGGGAGCCCACTCACATTCTGACTCTCACTCATACATATGCATGCATGAAGGAACACACAACCTCATACACACATGCAGGACCGAGCGCTGACCACCCATCCTTTGTCTGGCACACAGCAGGGTGGTCATGTGCTTGAGTCAGAGGGTGCCACCAGCCTCCAGCAGGCTCTTCATACCCTCTCATTTTAGGGGCATTTATCAATGCCATCTGGTAGCGCTGCTAACAATATGTGTGTGTATTTGTACAGTGTGTTTATGCAGCTGTGCGCGCCAGACACAATGAAATCACAGTTTTCATGACAAATGCAGCGTTTCATGGCAGACTCGGTCCTCTCATGTGTCCATTTATGGTGCACATGCTTGACCTGTCCTGACTCTTGTTTTCCCCTCTGCCAAATGCTCGGCACGAGTGAGGTCATCTCTTTTCCTAGCCATGGTAGATTAGGGGATCAAGATATTCTCTGGGCATTGCAAAGCCCAAGTATTTGTGGGGTTTGTTTCCACCTCTAGGAAACACAACAGACCCTTGACAACCTTGGCTAGTCCATTCCCTTTGTGCATTGTTTACAGTAACCTACTGTTCACTAGCACTGTAGAAGTGCCAGAGATTTGTGTGTTGCTTGGTTAATGGACAGTTTGGAATTAAACCTTGGATAAAAAAAATGCAGATAATGTAGTTGTGTCTATTTCTGGGTTGGCAATTAGTTTATGTAATAGTCCCATTTCAATATCTTGGGAAATCATCTAGTATGTCAGCCCTGGTTAAATATTTGGGACTGAAGCAGAATTAATACTGTGGAACTTCGAGTTATTCTATTTTTATAGTATTGAATCGTTACTGCCCGATGTGTCATTATGGTTTAAACTTTACTTTCTAATGTCTCTGTATCCACTCAGTGACTATGCAGGAAGATAGACAGCCATATCCTTACAGCTAGACACTCATGTTAGGAAAAAGGATCTATAATCCGGATAATCATTTCTGTTTCTTTATCCAGATGACCTGACCCGGTCAAACATGGGGTCCTCTGGTGACTCAGAAAAGATTATCCAGCGCTTGAATGATGAACTACGAGAAGCCCAGGAGCAAGCTAATACTGAGAAGCACAAATGCATTGAGCTACAAGGTAAAGAATATTTTTTTTTTTTTTACAATATTTGATGTTTGATACACACCATTCTCTCCACTTTATACTATGCACACACGCATAAAATAAATGAAACAATATTTTGTAGGTATCTTGGAGGAAGAGAGAAAAGAAAATAAGCAACAAGCTGATGAATCTGCGAAACAGATCAAACTTCTTCAAGGTACATTGGTGTATTTGTGCCTTTGAAAATGTTGTCTAGCCTAATAAAAATGTCTACACTACTAATACAAACACTGACCTTCACGTGGACAGGCCAGCTGCGGCAGCTCCAAGATGACATGGGCGTTCTCAGAGAGCAGATAGATGTCTCCTCCGGTTCACACGACGAGCTACAAAGTGCACGTGATGAGGCGAAGGCGCTGAAACGTTCCCTGGAGGCAGCCACTGCTGAGCGGGACCGTGACGTCGCTGCTATCCAGACTAACCTGTCAACCGTGTCAAAGGACCTGGACAAATGGCGTCAGACTGCCAACAAATATGAGCGTGAAATTGACAACCTACAGCGTGACCTTCAGCAGCAGAGCAAGCAGTGGCAGAAAACTGCAGAAATACAAGGTACTACATGGTGCACATACACACTATAAAACAAAACATGATGATGATAACTGGTACAAAGGATCTGACACAGTGATTGTAGTCATCATAGAAGTATTTACTTCAGTCATACATACATGAAAGGAAACACTTTCAAACACAGTTTTTATAAACAGTAGCAGTTCCATTAGTTTATTTTTTTTTTCAAATATGTACGAAACATAATTGACTCTTAGGAGTTTTGGAACAGTTTACAAACTTAAATTTCTCTGTCAATTGTAATCAAGTCGTAATGTTAATCACTACTGAAGAATGTGTTGCTTAGTGACCTTTTTATATTGAAATATGGCTTTATTTATTTTGTTTTTAGCATTAAGAAACTTGACCCTGTGTACAGTACTGTGTCAGATGTACACTAGCCTGTTCATGCACGCAAAGACGTTAAATATATTATTAGAAACTAGAAAGAAACTTTCTTCTCTGTAAGCCAATTAAGAAAGAGCATCTGCTCAAAGAATGCACCGTTATATAAAACCATTGTGTTTTTTCAAAGCCGGTGAGCTGCAGTCCATGCAGGTGGAGTGTAATGGCCTTCAGAAGGAGTGTTCTGCCCTGCGATCTGAAAAACAAGACATTGTCAACAAGCACCAGAAGGAAAGGAGCGGCCTGCAAAGTGAGTGTGCTTCCCTCAGGGCTGAAAAGGAGGAACTCCTCAAGACTCACCAGAAAGAGAAGGGCAACCTGCAAAGTGAATGTGCGGGACTGCGCTCTGAGAAAGAGGCAGTGCTGCAGAAACAGAAGCAGCTGGAGAAAGACCTTGCCAGGTCAGTGCACTGAGCTACATTATCAAGCGCTCGGCTACGCTCCCACCTCGGTGCTCCCTCTGTTTAATTTGCTTGACTCTGTTCCAACATGTTTTGCTGCACAGTTTACCACACACCTCCCTTTGTCTGATCCTTCACCTATTGAACTCAGTGTTTTTTTTTTTAATTCTGGTAGTTCGCGTGCCCAGAATGGTGAGTTGAGCAGTAGCCTCAAAGCCCTGGAGAGATCCCAGCAGGAGTTGGAGAAGAGGCTGGCGGCCCTGCAGCTCCAGCATCAGCAGGATAGCACCAAGCTGCAAACCCAATTGGATGAAGCAGAAAGTCGCAGCAAGACTCTGCAGAGAGAGGTGTGTTCTCAAAACTAAAAAGTCATTAACCAAGTGTCACGCGCCTTAGAATCACTCCTTGGAATTACAGTACATCCTCAAACCTGACAGGTACACTCTGTCGATACTTGTTGCTATTTAGTCACAGTTTTCAATGCCTGCGACTGATGGCAGGCATCAGGCTCGTACATTAATGCCAGTCTTTTTTATTTCATGCAAGTACATGATCTTTATGTTTGTAGTAAAGATTTTATGTGAGACTAACAAATCTAAAGCTGTCACCAAATAGTGTTAAATCCTACTTTTTAAATAGTTTTTACCATGGTTAAAGGTTAGGTGTGTAGGATTCAGTGGCATCTAGCAGCGAAGTAGCAGATTGCAACCATTTAAATACAGCTCCATGCTTGTAGGAGAAACTACAGTGGCTGCAAAACTCATGAAAAACGCAAAATATCCCTATCTAGAGCCGGTGTTTGGTTTGTCTGTTCTGGGCTACTGTAGAATTATGACGACTTCTGTGGAAGAGGACCTCTGTAGATAAAAATTACTCTTCTAAGGTAACAAAAACATCCGATTCATTATTGTTTTAGATGATAATACACTAATGAAAACAATAATTAATATTTATAATTTCCCATTTGAGCCAATAGATCATCCTAAATGTTACAGTGGCCCATTAATAGTTGATTGTGCGAGAACTGAGCTCATGGAATTGTTGGTTCTTAGTTTAGACAACTGCATATTTGCAAGAATTTTGGCCATTTAGGACGGATTTCCCAATCTGCCACACTTGATAAATACAGGCCTTGATCCTTTATCTGTCCATCTTTGAGGTTGTAGCCTAGCTTATAATCATTTAAAATGGTGGCATTCAAGGCTTTAGGATATTTTGTGATAGTCATCAACCAGACAGCAGCTCTTTGTAGTCATCTAATCCAAATGTTTAGTTTTATTTGCCCTGATCATCCGACTGTCATGCACCTACAATATAAAAAAAAAAAGCATTTTGTCAGACTGATGTTCTATTTTCAGACATTACAGAAGAGACATACAGACCCTGTATTGAGCCTTAATGACTTCCTAACATGGTCTTACAAACTAAAGTCTAAAACAATGTTGAAATGACTGTGAAATGCCCAGCTTCTTTCTTAAAACAAAAAGTTATGAAATGTAAGCAACCTACAGTCTAAACAGTCCACAGGTCGCTTGCTGCGGGCAGAAGCAAACTACTGTAATGCTCCCAGTCAAATTGAGCAGAATGGAGGGGGGGTGAGTCGTTGCTGTGACACCCAGACAGGAGGGGCACTGTTGAATAGCAGAAAGGAGAGATGAAGTCATCCTTAACCACAAGTAATTCATCCCAGTGTGGTGTTGCTTTACAGTCACTGAATGAGAGTGCTCTCACAGTGTCCTTTTTAGACTGAGCTCGTCCTGTGAAGCCCTGTCAGATGACGAAGCCTGTGAGAAACAGTTGCCACCTTAAATTAAGCAGTGATGCAGCAACTTTTGGTGCCAGCATGTTTCCCTTGTCCGCCAAATTGACCCTGAGAATACATGTATTTGAAAGTGATTTGTGTTTAAAGACGTATGATTTGCTTTATGCAGTATGAGGAGGCTAAGACGGAGCTGTCAGACCTAAAGGAAAAGTATGAGAAGACTGAGCAGGAAAAACAGTCGCTTAAAGATGAACTTGAGGAGTGCAACGCCAACATGAAGGAATTAAAGGAGAAGGGAACAAAGGTGAGGGCTGGTCTGTCATACCTGCTACAGTTAAATAAAATTGTATATAATTGTTTGACAAATGTTATCAAGAAGTGCATGGAATGTAGAAATAATGATCTGCAGTTGAGTTTAAAAAAAAAAAAAACAGCACCACAGCTTTTATTTGCATAAGAAGCAAACATCTTCAGTTGTTTTGGTTTTGGAAGCATGAGCTTTGCTTCAAATTTTAATGAACATCCATTTATTTTGTGAAATATCTCCAGGCACAAAAGGTGAATCTGTTGTAGGATTCACAGTATATTTCTTTTAATCTCAGCACACCTGCTCCCCTGTACTCATCCACTGCCCTTTACTGTTGCTTTTAGACATTGACAGCCGTGTGTGGCTCTGAGAGTTGTATAAACATCAATTACAGACAGACATTGACTGAGAGGTTTATTAATAAAGCTACACCCAACTAAAGTATGTCCCATTGCAGTTGATTACTATAATATCCCTTCCCTTCTGTAGACATCCCTATTGCTGCCTGTTCAAGCCATAGTCATCGGCCTTATCCTGGCTTTGCTGTATTGGTGCTTCGGCGCATTGTGGTAGTAAGGTACACATTACTCCTGTCAAGTCGGCCTACATCCTTCATTCTCATCAGTGTCTTTTAGCTCATTGCATGACTTAATCAGGTTTCCCCTAATTCCCCAGAATGTCTTCCTCAGGGGGGGTAACTCCAAAAATTGACGTCTTTAGAAACTCTAACCTCTCTAATCATACAGTTCCAACATCTGACATCTGTTTGTCTTGTCTGGATGGCTAATGCTTAACAACTGTTTCTCTCAGTTGGCTTATGATTGGCTTATGTTAATCTGAAAGCGCTAACTCGCATTCTCTGTGCCCTGCATTGGTCTCAATGGCAAGCTCCCCTCTGTCAAAGCTTTGGCGATCTTTGGATGGGCGGTTTCAAGCGGTGATGCTCATGTTTCCATTTCTGTGTCACCACTCTTTTCAGAAGCCATGGATGATCTGGGGACCCGTGGTTGCTGTGGCTGTGACAGCAGTGACTGCTGCTGTGCTCTTCAGGACCTGAGGGCAACATGCTCGAACACACACACACGCAAAATCCATATTTGTCGTCAGATTTCTCCGCACTTGCCCCCTTATCATATCTGCACTATTAATTAGGAGGGCTCATACTAAACACTGTTTAATTTTTAAGATGCTCTATTTTAGATGACAGAGAGGTTAATAAAAGAATGTCCGTTTTGTGTGCAAATGAATACGTTTGTTTGTATGTCTATTATTTGAAGGAAATCTAGTTTACTATCATGACTTAAACGATTATCCATTAATGAATGTAAAGATGCTCTACACAATTAATTCTAAATATATATATATGATGATATTTTAGGTGGATTACCTGGAGTTTAAACCTCCCTAAATGTAACACGTCTCTGTACCTGTCAGAATAATAAATGTCTCAATAATGCAGCCCCTGATGGAGTACATGATGAATGCCCCAGATACATAACATCAGTCAATCAGTGGATGGTTGTGGTGGGCACGTTATCTCTCATCATAACTGATCTCAATGTAGAAATGGGTAGAGGCCGAACCTGGGGAAGGTATTTCAGCAGGAGTTTATCTTTGCTGTTTTCTGCCTAGCGTGTTTCATAGTCCTGAAAGATGTTTTTCATTCATGATGATTGAAGTGATGCAGCCACAAGTGAAATATTTTAGGTCTGGAAAGATGGTTTTCCTTCATTAACAGAATCTAGTTCAGGACTGTAAGTAGCGAACTCCTGTGTTACTGTTTGCTTCTGCCTTCCATTTAAGATACGGTCTCTCCCATATAGACGACGAAGGTAAAGAAGATGGATATATTAAATTTACTTTTCTGTTTCTGCACTAGCTTCTGTACATCATATTAATCAGACCCACAGATTCAGTTGGCATCCTAGAATCACCCATTTACAATTGCTTTAAAACAAGGAATATACATTTTAAGTCTTATTGCATTGGTGCCAGTGAAAACACTAAGAAGGGGCCACAGAGATTTTTTATTAATAATGGCCACCATAGTCTGTACATCAGTTGTTTACCAAAGGGAAGTTAATATTACATAACACAATATAATTTAAATTCACGTTATTGTATCACATCTTACCAGTAGCCACCACAAGAAACTGGTCTAATACTTCATGTTGAACAGATACAACAAATTTGGCTTCCATTTAGAGTTTTCTGATGATTATATATTTGCATGCATTAGAATTATTTGTGGAAAATCTCAAATTTGATCAATGGACATATTTGTTCATTTGCTGTATTTGTGACTGCTCAGTTTCCTGTGAGTACAAAATCTATGTATTTTGTAAAGAGATGGAAAGTACGTTTCTTGGGTTTAAAGTTCATGATCTACTTCACTAACATGTAAGAGTGACCTCGATTAAAGAGCTCAACCTCATAATTGCACAAGCAGGCAGTCACTGTAGCCACCAAGCTTTATAGAGGCGAGGTCGGACCTGCTGCTGTTCTGTTTCTTCAGAATCATTCAAATGATTGCAACCCTGTAGAGGAAAACGGAGTGCATGTCACATGTATGAGGTAAGCTCTTCTTTGTTTTTAATATTAGGTAATGGGTAATATATTTTGAGAAATATTTTTTGCTTCTACCCTCCAACAAAGTGATCTTCTCATATCTCACATGTCCTGTTTTACCTCCCTTTTAAAAGCTCCCTGTACTGCGGATGGCATTTAAAGATGCTGATTGATGCTGACAGGCAGGAGCACAACGTTTTCCTTTAAGAGTTTGGTTTTCTCAGGTGAGTACGTCAGCTGGCCAACAATGCACCATGGAAAAAGACAGCATACCCACAGTATAAACAGTGGTACAGTGAACATGTGCAATGTTTGGACAGACTAATTAGTACCTTGTTACCCTTTTGGAGGTGCTGGAGCACAGTAAGTTGACCAGGAGATGATAAATATCTCTTGCAGATGAGACTGGGCAGTTTGTACATGTTTGGGCTTTCTGGAGCAGAAGAGACTCAACATGTGAGTCAAAGAAATGTAAACAGCCCAGCCATCTGCCCCACAAAAATACCCCAAACTCTACTTATATAGTATAGTATATAATCATGGTCCCAGGATTCAGCCATTTACAACAGGGATCACACATAATTCTTGTAGGCCTTTAGAGTTGAATCATTGTTAATTGTTTTAATAATTTGATCAGTTTCTAGGTCTTTTTTAGAAAGAATCTAGTATGTACCAATGGTATGTTTTTTTTCTAATATTTTGTAAAGGGAAATTACCTCAGAGAGTCTTTTCTCAAAGGAAGAGAGTTAACATAAACATTACATATTTTTGGGGGGGCTTTTATTGGCCCAGCTCTGGCACATGGGGTGCCTCCTCCACCAGGTGAGCTACCAGGGTGCCTCATTAGTGCATTATTTACATCCAGTATAGTTTCAATAAGTAACAATATAATAGTTTTCTTAAAATCTGGAGGCATTCCACCAAGTTTTACACTGAAAGGTCAGTTTATTCGTCATGAGGAGTATTGCTCAGCTTGTTGATACAGTTGTATAATGTCTTATGTGGCTCTGCAACAGGCGGAAAAAAATGAAATAGGCTAATTTTTGATTTCTAATAACCACCTTTAGATATTTCTATTCAGTACTTAACTAATATGCCAAAATAATCTAATGTGTTTGGGTTCAAGTATCATTTAAGGGTTCATTAGTGATTGTAATTAAATCAACATATATTTCTCCCACCCCTTAAAGTCTCCCTGCCACCTTCTGGCCACCCCATGAATATTTCTCTAGATCCGCCCCTGCAACGGGACTTCCTGGATCATATTTCATCGTCTCACTGTTACCACAACACGCCTCCACCATGCAGCCTCCAGCGATGTTTTAACGCATGCTCAAACCCTACTTAGACTTCAGATTTTTCATCAGAGTTTTATGATCTAAGTTGATGTGACTACTGACTGTGGGGACCTTAACATCTGCTGGAAGATTATAGGGTTAAGCACTCAGTGCAGTTACGCCCTTTAGACATGCTGACCACACTGATGGTACTTCTGTGTAACGATGCAATATATTTCTCAACAGGATGTCTGTTTCTACATTTAACATTTTTGCCACGTTACTTAGTCAGTGTGTATGTGTCATTCATCCTGACACATCTGATCCTCATTTTTGTTGAAAATGCATTGGCTCTGTCATTTCTGTTCTGCAGGGTTTGCTGTCTCAAGGATCCCTGTCAGGATACAATGTGACGACCAGGATGATGTGGCTAATGTGACGCGAGGCTCAGGCAACCTGGGGAATACACTGTGCATGTGAGCAGATTGAGGACAGCCTCTTCGTCCTATATAAACCAAAATATGAGAATCGTTCCCACGCATTGGGGAGCCTCTCTGCAGAGTTGCTGTGTCCATTTGTTCTGCTCTAGTTTGCATGTAGGTCATCTGTAGTGGACCAGAGATGCAGCAGAATGGCAGCTGCATTAGATGGTATTTTTACTGTGTAATCTTGGGCTTCCTGTTGCTCTAATTTACATTGATGTCAAAGTTTTGACTACTGTTCAATGCTTAAATCCTTGTTAAACAGAGCGTAGTTCATCAATCATTGTAATTCAAATTCACAACACCATAAAAAGCTTCAACCTTTTTAGCAGATGTCTATTTCAAATGTAATTACCTACAATATGTATAATGCATTTCCTGGTACTTAAGACTCAAAGTTTCTTTGAAATTGAATTGAGAAATTTGGAGAAAAATGTCTTCAAAGGTCTGTAACTCTTTCTGGGATTTCACATCATGAACATCCTGATAATTTAAATTTTGTACATGTAGCTGAATCGTACATGTAGCTGAATCTTTCTATGCAACCCTTTTCCCTCTTACCATTTCAAAGAAATGTAGCTTATTATCTGTTCATAGTTGTGAAACACTACATGTTTTAATGTCTAAATATCTGTGTCAAACCAATAGGCCTGCAGGTGGAAAAACCCTTAAAATAACACCATTTTAAGTTATTTTGATATACAGACCATGCTGGGATCCATCAATACAATATCACCTCTGGAGGGCAGTATGTTCATGGGGAGGCTCTGTGGGTTCATCAGTTCTGTTCTTTCCCCCTCAGTCAAGGAAACCTCCTCAAGGTTAGACAGAGGTCAAAATCTGTAGTCCACAGCTCGATCAGGAGAGTGAACAAGCTTCACTGTTAACTGAAGCAGAGCTGATGATGGATCACACTCTGTGGATGTCATGACACCCAGGGGTCTGTGCAAAAAAAGCTCTCAGATCCTCACTACTGACTGCAAACAGGAGACAGTCTACAGTCTGCCTCTATCATGACACCCGGTGGTGAGTTTTGGACTCGAAGCTTTAAATTGGATGTGAATATATGTGTATGTATTCAAACAAACAGTGTGGAGATAGAAAACACATCCAGTGACTTATTAATGCTCCTTTGGTGGAGTAAAAGTCCTCCAGGTGTGACTCAAAGGCACCACCACATAATGAGCATTAATGTGGAACTGCATTTTTACATTGACGCTTTTGTCCAAAACATACAAATTAATTTATTTTTTGATGGTTTTTTTTTCTTTTGTCTTATTATTTTATGTTCTTTCCATTATTGGCAAAAATAAAGTTTCTAGAGCATGACTGCTGTTTATTATTTCTGTGTAACAGAACCTGGGGCAGTTAGTAACACCAGGAGGTTTTGGAAAGACAGAAGGGTCTTCTGGGGTTCTTGCAGACATGCATCATTATGTCGTACTGACTAATAATCCACAGTAAAACAAAATGAGCTGCTAATTGTTCTTACACAAAAAACATTTCCAGTAATATTCAATAAGAGGAAAAGCGTTAAAACCATAATTTGAGATTTATGCTCAATACAGACAACTAACAACTGAAACTAACAAAAGCAGCCAACACCTGAAAATCATCTTCTTCAAAATTAACAGAAGCAAAGCTTGTGGAAATGTTCAGTAAGAAAAGTTGTTACAGAAACATTATATTTATAGTATGTAGTATAATATAGTATAGTATATAGTGTTTGCTATTTTAATCTTGACTAGCTATGAAATTATACTTGTGAAAAGAAGTTCAAATGTAATTCTGCCACTATAATCTTTTTTTCTTTTAGTTAAACACGACCAGGTCAGGTATTCTCGGCATGAACCTCTCTTTGGGTATGAATGTCTCGATCATTGCCTGTGAGCAGGTCGGCTATTTATGTGCTGTGATTGTGTGTGAGTCGACATTGGTCAATAATAATTTGTTACACACCAGTAAAATTCTTCACTCTGGGTTTATTGTATTCACTTTATTGACTGTAGCTGCTTAGGGTGTCTATTTTTATATTTCCAGTTCTTTATTGCACTTGCACACACGCCGTGATGTTTTTGCTAAGAGTTATGACAGTGTGTACAGCCTGGACTCTGTCAGAAGCAATGTCTGGCCTGCACGTTCACTTTAAAAGATTGACCGAATAACGTTGTGGCCCGGTTTCCCCAATGATGAGTAATAATCAATGAGTTTATCCAGGGCAAACATATTCTGCTGGGACTAACTGCACACTCCACAGGGACAGTTATGCTTTCAACACATCAACAATACCTGCAAATAAACTAAAGCATCTGCTAACTAATCAACAGAATCACGGTTGAACCAGCAGTCACATGTGTCTGCCTGTGACAAGAGAATCAAGGGGGAAAAAATCTACTGAAAAGTAAGTTTTTACATTTTTGAAAAAGCATTTTGTGGCATGGTAAGATATTTCATGTTATTTTGGTGCGATATTCAAATATTGAATGGATGTTGGATATCGACTTTGCCTCTGCTGACGTGTTATTCTCATGAGATGCTGCGTGTGTAATGGGTGTGTTATATGTATTTTTTTAGGTGAGCCATGGCAGCTGATCTAGACGTGGTGAACCTGTTTATCATCGCGGGGGGAACACTGGCTATTCCCATCTTGGCCTTTGTTGCTTCCGTCCTTCTCTGGCCCTCCGCACTCATTAAAGTATATTACTGGTAAGGTCGATTACTGTGTTGTCCTGGCTTTCACTTCGTATGTTCAATACCGGACGTGAATGCCAGAGATGATTCTACCAAAAATATTCAACAATAAAGAACAAACACTAATGACAGAACATGCTTCTAATCAAAATACACATCATTTGTATTCTCAACTTGCAGATATTTAACAATATTTGGCTGCACAGGCCATCTTAAAACAACGCTCATATTTACATTGAAAGCATTCTTGGTCACTTCAGAGCCACAAAGAGATCCCTCCTTGGGGGAATTTCATACTATAAAGACCACAGCTTTGGAAGGTATACCCAATTGATTTAACTCAGACTGCTTACGACTTCAGTAGCTCATATTAGTTTCAGCTGTACTTGCAAATGCATCTTTGCACAGAAAGAGGAATCTGGATTTTGTCTTCCATCACTCAAATTGAAGAAAAGGGTTCTGTTTGCAGACTGTGGATTAAGATTGACCTGAAAAAATGTGAGCTTATCCTTTAAAAAGATTCATGTGACCTTTATAATCATTAAAGTGTGAGTTTTTGAGTCGCACAACATCACAAATTTGCCTCAACATGAAGCCCTTAATGTATCTAAACGGCAACAGAAAGAAAATGCCAATGTTGGCAACACATGTTCATAAGAATTTGCATCCATTATCCCTCAACCAAATTTTGAATCCCAGTGACGTCATGTCTGCGTGTGTAAGCTCAGACACACCTGCTTCCCTTACAGGTACTGGAGGAGGACGCTGGGCCTGCAGGTGCGCTACGCAGACTGCGGCGGCTATCGCTTCTGTTACACCTACAGAGGAAAGCCTGGGATGAGACCTTCCATTTTAATGCTGCACGGCTTCTCTGCTCACAAAGACACATGGCTCACTGTTGTCAAGGTCAGGAGATCTGTAACACTAAACATAACAGTGTGTTGCTGTGAGATAACACTCATCCAGCAGTGACAGAAAACACAGATGCTGGCAGGCTGTTAAATCTTAATAGTAATGTAAAATGGAGGAATTTAATGACATACATGTGGAAGCACAAAAGACCCTTATAGATTTGAATCTTATAGGCAACTTAACAAAAATTGAATCACTAATGAAGACTTTATTTTGAAATGTAAATGAATGTATGGTATTTGAAAAAGACACGTTTGATTTTAGGTGTTTTAAATTCCCCTCTTTGATATTTCCAGATCGGGTGCTGTTTCAAAAACCTGATTTTAAGTTTCATTTATTTTTTGGTTCACAAGGCTTCACAAATTTTGGTAGAAGATTTAAGTGTCTGGTTGGGATCTAAAAATCACATCAAAAAATTAAGTTCAATGTGGATCTGTGAAATTCAAGATGAAAAATTCAAATTTGGACATTCTCCAGACGGCCAAGGATAAGCAGCCAGTCTTTCTTGGCTTCCATGCCTACATTAATAGTTTCAGGCTGTACTTTCTCTCTCTTTTACCACTCTAGTATTTACCAAAACATCTTCACATTGTGTGTGTGGACATGCCTGGCCATGAGGGAACAACACGCACCAACACCGAGGATTATTCCATTCAGGGGCAGGTCAGAAGGATCCATCAGGTACACTGAACAGAGAGAGCAATTAAATTCAGTATGTGGGTGTATTATTTTTATTTTTTTCAGGTACTGAAATCATTCCACTGAAAACCTGTTTTTGTTCTTCGTTCTTCTCAGTTTGTGGAAACCGTTCGCTTAAACAGGAAACCTTTCCATCTGGTTGGAACCGCCATGGGGGGAAATGTAGCCGGGGTTTACGCAGCGTGCTACTCGTCAGAGATCTGCAGCATGACTCTCATTTGTCCAGACGGTCAGTCGCTGTGTGTGTGTGTGTGTACAACATTATCAATGAGCATCTGAGTGTTTTGCCAAAAGAAAGGTCAGATGCAGAAACCAGTCGATATTTTTCACTTTAAAGAGGCACTCTAATGTCTTTTGTGGCTCTGGAGGGAGCTTCTTTTTTTATTTTGTAAGTTTAAAAAAAATAACCCTGATGATGTCATAGTGATGTCACCTGGGTTAACTCGGTTTGGGCTCGGGGTCTCCAAATTTATAACACAAAATCTGCATTTCAAACTAGGGGTGTGGAGTTTGAAAGATGTGGGCATTTACCCCGGAGGGTCAAACGCTATCTGCGAGCCAATGGGAACAGAGCAGGGTCGTCTGTTAGTTCTGTTGGTTTTCTTTGAGCCATATTTGAAAATGTTCAGAGTTTCTCTGCCAAAGACTTTTGCTAAATTACCTAAAATGTACAGTCTGGTTGTGTAGGTGATATCTTCCTGTTGGAGAAGCATAGCTCTGTTAGCCCTATAAAACCATGTTAAACTGATTATAGATATACCCTGTTGATAGTGTTTGATTCCAGATTATATGTGCCTAAACTTATACTGCCTGCACTTAAAAAACAGAAATAGAAAAAGCTATTTCCAGTATGTTTTAACTCCTGTATGATCAGAATAAAACAGGTACTTCATCCACAAACAAAAATCTCCTTATACAAAGTTTCACTCTTTGTGCGGCTTTCATGGATTTGTAGTAGAGCATTTTCTTTTACAGAGAAGATCCTGTTACGGCCTCATTCTGAGTGAAAAGGAGCTAAACTAAGGATAAAAGTAGAAGCTGATTAGCTTTTATACTTTTGTGACAGAAAAGGAAGTCCTTGGCAAAACTACTCTCTTTCCATTGCCCCACACATAGTCTGCAGTTGCTGGACCCGTCTCTATTTACTGAGTTGCATTCTGGGAAATGTTGGATCTAACACTGTAGGTGCTTCCTTTAAATGTGTCTTTTGTAAGTTTCCCAACTAAATAAGTGGAGTTTCCCTTTAAAAGCAAATGAATTCACACAGCGGATTAATTTCATGCCTACCATCATTTGCTGTTTCTGATATTTCATTTGATTACCAGTATTCATCATTCCAAACAACATATGAGCGTGCACCCCTCAGTTTCTAATCAGAAAACACTATTTTATTCCTGCAGGTATAAGACACCCATGTGAGACCAAATTTGACAATCATCTGCAGGACCTGGAGCACAGCAATTACACATTAAATATCCCGCTGATCCCTACTACACCCGAGGAGATGGAGGACATGTTCAGACTTTGTTCTCATGTTCGCTTTAAAATCCCTCAGCAGGTCAAGTCCACACTTGAAAATAAAAGCACTGTGGATTTCACTTTGTATGCACTCATGGAATCACAGAAATAGTTACAAAATAATATTCACCTACACATTCATTAGTCAAATGTAGCTACATTTTGTGGATGTTTAAACGTGTGTTTTCATTGTTTAGATTCTTCAAGGATTGGTTGATGTTCGGCAGCCCCACAACACATTTTACCAAGAAGGTTAGTGCACTGGTTAGTGCACTGGTTTGAAAATAATTAGGATTTCCCATGTAAGTACAGTAAAGTCCATGTGAACCAACCAGTGATTTTGTTTCTTTTTTCAATCAGTATTTATGGAGATTGTCGGTGAGAACTCAAGATATGCCTTACAGGAGCACTTACAACTGATTACTGCACCTTTACAAGTGATATGGGGCAAACAAGACCAGGTAAAGCATGCTGTTCCACTAATGCAGTGATTCAGCAAAGCCTCTATAAATACCAGAATGATTACCTTGCAGCTTTTTTGCTTCTAAATGCACCCGAAGATCCATGTGGCTGTATACCAACCTGTAACTTGGGGCTGGTGGCTCAGGTTTCTCTAGCTGCTTTGGCCTGAAAAGAGAAACTTCAGTCACATAGACATAATCATTATCCCTGCATTTGTCCTAGGTGGTGGATGTCTCTGGAGCTACAGTCATTGCAGAGGTGCTGCCTGGATGCAGGGTGGACCTGCTGGAGAACTGTGGACACTCTGTGGTAATGGAGAGGCCATGTCGGACAGCCAAACTCATCCTGGAGTTCATCATCATGCAGCAAGATGCCAGGGGTGGCACAAAGAAATCCTCCTGAAACCCATGACTTTTAATCATTTCTTTCCACTGCAATGCCTCACATGTCCCTTATACGTGACATGCATGCATATGTATACAGAAGTCCAAGCTTTAAACATTCACATTAAGACAGTAAGCAAGGGGTTGGGGTAGTGCACCAGCATCTCTTAAGAGTGTAAAATAAATCGCATTTAATTTGTAATGTAAACTCTCACCATGATAATAAAAGCTAGTATATGAGTGTTGGGATGTGTGAATGTATTCATGCAGAGGTGCCTGTGGTTGCAGCAGGACCTCCTCCCCTCCTTCACCCTCCTTCACCCTCCTTGTGTGCGCAATTTTGCTGCAGCCTGGAGCCGAGCACAGCTGCTGCCCGGTGCGACCAGCGGCAAACATCAGCGACTGTCCGGCTGCACCGTTACATGCCGACCGCAGACCGCGGTTCTCGGACACACACACAAACAAATAGACAAGTAGGCAAGAAAGCGAGCTGGTAAGGCTTTGTTTTTTTTGTCTCTGTTAGTCTAGTTAAGAGCCCCGGCGTTAACCTGAGTAGTAACTGCAGCTACACCTCAATGGCTAGGGGACTGTTAGCTCTGGTAGCTCGCTAGTTAGCAAGCAGGAAGCTAGCAGGCTACATTTCCAGTGTGGTAGTCGCTTTGTGTTTAACGCCACCGGACACGGTGCATTCAAGCCGGATTTACTTAACTTAATAACAGTTTTAGCTTTTTTAAAACGCGTTTTGTTGCTTGCGATGTAACTTAATCTCGTAACGTTAAGTCAGCTTGTTTCATTTTCAGAGCAGAGAGTGAAAAGAGATCGGAGGGCTGCTTTTTTAACACTAGCTCTGTTGAACAAACATTAACATAGCTGCCTTCACTAGCCTCCACCACTTCTTTAACGTTATGTAGTTCAGTCACACTGTTGCTATATAACTGGGTAACTTACGAGAGGTAAATTAATGGGTTTATGTTCATTCAGTAGCTCCAGGTTTCACTTCCCATTGGGTTGGTATTATGATCTATAATGATGGATCATCCTCTGCTGTCACACAGACACTTGAGATGCAAAGTTAAATCTTAACCTTGCAAAAACATCTTAACTTTAGTAGCTTTTCTGAAGCTATTTTAAAAAAAAAAACCATCATATTACATTATCTTCTTCAGTAGATCGGGTTTGCCAGCTGTTATGGACATGCAGATGTTTAGATTTACTTCCTTTTTGAGCACTTCCACTTCCACTTTACTAGTCAAAAGCAGACTGCCACTTTAACAGCAAGTACACTGAAAAGTTATTGAAGAAACGTGTATCCAGTCAACTCACATTGTGACAGGACATAATATAACTCACAATGCTTGAATACAGCATGTATGTTTGCCTTCGAGTACACAGGCTCCCAGGTAGATCATTACTCATGTAATTTAACACACAGAGGTGCTAGTTACATGACTTGACTTAAGTCTGCATGATTGTGTCCCTCACATTTTGCATAACTCTGTTACAGCTCATGTTAACGTGACTGTTTTTTCACAGGTAGAATTGAAGTAAGCCAAAACCGTATCTGTTCCCTCTCTATTTCGTTCTGACCAAGTGGGTATTGTTCTACAAATGGATAATGGAGACTGGGGCCATAGGGTAAGAGATGGATAGAAGTCAGACTAGAATAAGAGCAATGTCAGCTGTTTTTTTTTTTTTGCTGCTAAAGAAATGTTGGCTGATTTTAAATGCTAAAGGACCAGTGTGTAGGATTCAGCGGGGAAGACGCAGATTGCAACTATTTGAATACAGATCAGCCCTCCAAGTATGTATGTGAAACTTGCGAAAAAAGGGGAAAGGCCCAATCTGACAGCACTGTTTGTTCTTTCTGGTTTAGACAATGCGGTTCAACATCGCGCGCCTCTGTCGAAGAGACCAGTCCTCTTTAGATAAAAACGGCTCAGTGTAAGGTAACGAAAACTGTGTTTTCAGGTGATTGCACACTAATAAAAACATACCTATGAATATTATATTCCAATTCTGCAGGATCCTAAATGTTACACACTGGACCTTTAAATTCACTCTGTCGCCAGTTTATTTTACATTAAGAATCAAAAACGAATGCAGTCTGATACAGCATCCTTGCAGTAAATCCTACCTTCATGAAGGTTGTAATGTTCATAAGGGTATAATGTTTAGATATATTTTAGAGAGGTTTGGCAGCACCATTACCAAATAACAAAATAGCATTTATTCTAATAATGTAACTTCACAATGTCCATGTTATCACCCACAACTGCAGGATGCTAACTTTCTTCCACTTAACAAAAACATGTGATTCTCATCCTCTTCTCTGTTCCTTCTTGCCCTAGATGACTACTCCTGTTACCTTGAACGTGGGAGGCCACCTGTACACCACCAGTTTATCCACCCTGCAGCGCTATCCAGACTCCATGCTGGGTGCCATGTTTCGGGGAGATTTCCCCACCACTCGTGATTCCCAAGGGAATTATTTCATCGATCGCGATGGAACACTTTTCCGGTATATCCTGAACTTCCTGCGGACGTCTGAGCTCACGCTCCCCATGGACTTCACAGAGACGGACCTCCTACGGAAAGAGGCAGACTTCTACCAGATTGAACCTTTGATCCAGTGCCTTAGTGATCCCAAGCCTCTGTACCCTCCCGACATCTTCGAGCAGGTCGTGGAGCTCTCTAGCACTCGGAAACTGTCAAAATATTCAAACCCAGTCGCCGTCATCATCACGCAGCTAACCATAACTACAAAGGTTCACGGTCTGCTGGAAGGTATTTCCAACAACTTTACCAAGTGGAACAAACACATGATGGACACCAGAGACTGCCAGGTGTCCTTCACCTTCGGACCATGTGACTACCACCAAGAGGTGTCCCTTAGGGTTCACCTCATGGACTACATAATGAAACAGGGCTTCACCATCCGCAACACACGTGTGCATCACATGAGTGAGCGTGCAAACGAGAACACGGTGGAGCATCACTGGACTTTTTGCAGACCAGCTCACAAAGTGGAAGACTGAGTCACAGCACAGTTGTTGTGGGTGACATTATGGTTTGATTTTGCCTTCATAATACACAAATCATGATTGAAAGGAACAAAATTGATTTTCTGTTTCAGTAATGGATCACTAATAATGATTTTTACCCCTAATTTTGAACAATATGGCACAAGTCCAGACAGGTAGCATTAAAAAAAAAAAAAAAAAAAAAAAAAGAGAATTCTTGATTTATTTACCTGTTCAAGTGCAAGAGTGTTATCTTAGCATAACACTTTATTATCTGTTCTACAACTATATACACATATATATCTGACTGTTCTTGAACTCTACAAAGCAAAAACGACATTCCTTATGAAGCAGAAAGGCCCCTATAGCAATGAATGATAGATTTTTACAGGATTGTGATGTGGTTCCAGTACCTGCATCTGTTTATTCCGAAGTCAGTAATAAAGTGATTGTGAACAGGGAACCAGGTTTTGAGACTATATGCCTACATACAGTATCAGATCTACATCTTAACATCCATTAATGTAAATTTAGAAAGATAAAAGAGGAGATTGTAAAAGGTTTGTACCTCATACACAAGCTGTCTTAGCCATATTTTGGACAAGAGACACTGAGCCAGGATCCCAAATTGTCAGGAGGGTACCTTTTTTTTAATATCATAATAAATTATGATATTCTTTAGCCCAATTTCTTTCTGTGAGTTTGCAGTAGATCTTAAAATTAGTCTCTTAGCTCATTATACGGTACTATTTCTTAAGACCCTAGTTGTTGTTGCATGTGTCTGAGTGTATGTATATGTATTTTCTGTGTGCGCTTTGTAGTATTATGTCCTACTGTTACACTTTAGAGCTCATATCAACAGTGATGTGGTGGTCATTTGGTCATTCCAGCCAAAATAAACCCATTTGTGTATTTGTCAGTCATTAATTTATTTTGCTTTATGGTTGAACTTTTCATCTTAAGTTGATGATATTTTTGCGCACATGACAAATTGTGTTATTATAATCCCACCATCAGTATTGGAGCAATGTCGCGTAATAAGAGATGGACATACGCCAAGCTCCCAGTTGGATTTCATGCTTTTACTCATTCACTGTTGGGAAGGACAAATCAAATATGGCAACTAATGATTTCCTCAACATTTAGCCAGTCAGAAAACTAACTTCTCTGAGTAAATTGAATGGTGGGAACAAAATGTTTTAGTAAATCCAGTTATAATTCAACGGTTAAAAATAAGTGGGAGCAATTATTACCTGTGTTAAACTATATTGTCACATATTTTTTTGTATGCCAGTGCTGCCCTGTGGAATCATTTGATTTCCATCCAGTGACCTATTTTGCACAATATTTATTGACTCCTAATTGGAAAAAAAGGCATGAGAAACTTAGAAACAGTCAACAAATTATTTGATTTAACAAACCATACAACGCTTTCAAACAATGCTGACAGTCATACCTTAATAGTCTTCTTAACCCCATATCAATAAACAAAAGTGACATTGACCAATTATTTTCAGCATAATAATTACACAACCAACTAATGTCTGATCATAACTGTGTTTTTCAACATCAATCCAGAGCCAGTGATCACCTCTTTATTCAGAAAAGGTGGACATTATCCCACAGTGACAACAATTCCTTTTTTGTTATGTTGCTTATGCACAAAAGAGGCAGAATGTCTCCAGAAAATCTTTTATTTAAAATGTTATATCCATAAATATGTTCACAAAACACTTTTCTCACATTCAAAATGTTATTATTTTACTAATATTTTCGGCATTAATGTTTAAAGGGGTTTAACTCCCATTTTAACTTGAACCAACCCTCCACAATGTATAAGGAGTCGCTCATACACACTAAACACAACCGGAAGTTACGACTCTTCATGGGTGCGTTCGTTTTATATGACAACATCGAGCTGCCGTTGGTTCTCCTCTACATTCCACACAACTCCGCTCTGTTGCGAGGCGCCCGGTCACAAAATGAGCGCACCCTCTCTCTCTCGCCCATTGCTGTCACAACGTTACTAAAGGACGTGTAAGGTCCATGCTATCCTTGAAACAGCCCCGTCGCCACAGTTTAGCCCCCCACTCACGGCACTGTAGGCTGTATACCGACACACGGCGTATGTAACGTTGTTAGCCAGGATGTTTTATAGGAGTAATAATGTAAAGTATCTCCTGGACCTGGTTCCGGGTAAAAGTCGTTTCGGGACGTACAGGTTCCTTCCCGTCTTCTTTTGCATCGGAGGTGTCATGGAGTGGATCATGATCAACGTGAGGATAGGAAAAGAGACTTTCTGTGAGTGTAAAAACGACCAAACTGAGTTTATTTTTAATAGTAAAACCTTGGTTTAGCCTGGTGAGGACTCATGTCAGCCTTGTATCTGTTACCTGTGTGAAACTGGTTTAATAACAAACTAAAACTTGCGAAGTGAGAGCAGTTAGCTGGTCTGAGTTGCATTTAAAGCCTTTCCTGTCTGGCAAGCTGTTTCACTCCCCCCCCTCTATAAACGAAAATGACCATGCTGCCACGATGTCACAGTGGGCCTACTGTTAGGACTGTGCTTGTTTACAGATTTGGGACACATCACCCTCGTTGACCTTCCAAATATGTCCTCAAACTTTCCTACAACCTACTGCAGGCTGTCTCACCTCTCCTCTGCTCTGCTGTCATCAGGAAATATGGAAAAAGTGAGAGAAAGATGGGGCCAAAAAAAAACAAACAAGGCATTTTAAAGTAAACACATGGCAGTACGGGCAGTAAGATGGGTCAGACTGCTGTAAATAAACAGCTCAATGTACTTTAATTTGGATTCTTTAACAATAACACAATGTGTACTTGCAATCTAAATTGTACTAATGTATAAGAAATATAATAAAAGTACTCAATATGAAGAATGGCCCCTTTCAACATGTTTTATTATTATATTGTAGGGCTGCAATTTTTTATTATCAATTCATATTTATATATATTTATGGGTTAGTCAGTTACTAGTCTACAAAAATGTAAATATCTTCTCTTGTCAAAGTCCAAAACCTAAAGATATTGGATTTTTTAATGTTATATATGTTATATGTTATGGAACTAGAGATGTTTCTGCTTAATAAGTTATTAATCTATAATTTATCATATTATTGGATTTTAAGTTTCGATGCAATAATGTCTGAGCAACATTTCAATGATGTACCCGGCAGAGGTGGAGCTTACTATTTTGTGTTCTGTTTAGTAGTATAAAAGTACATCATATATTATAAACTCATCACATGCTTTGTATGTAAAAAAAAGTCAAAGCAACTAGTTACGGCAGCTGTCAAATAAATTCATTACAATATTTTGAAATGTAGTGGAGTAGAATTACTAAGTAGAATAAAAAGAAAAACCTCAAATAAAGTACAAGTAACTCAAACTTGACAGTACTTGAGTAAATGTACTTCACCACAGCTTCTCACTTTGATATTGCAGTGGCCTGTCTGTAGCTACACCTGTAGAGAGTATTATGCTCATTAAAAAGAAATAAAAAGGAAAAATAACCCTAATGTGTCTGTACTCTCACTGAACCAACATCCCTTTATTCCAGATGTGCTCAAATGCGCCAGTTCAGGAGAATTAAAAGGATTAAAATCCTCCTGTGTAAAAAAACCAAAAAACAAAATAAAAAGCTGCCCTGCATATTTTATCCTGTAGTATTGTGAGGCCATGTCGGGATACAGAATACAATCTCCCATCCCTAGTTTTATTCCTCAGCTTGTAAGTAGTTTATTTTTATTTTTTTTAATAAAAACTGTCTTTACTTTTTCCAAAATCTGCAGGATAATTTAAAGGCCTTTTTTCACATTTCACATTAGGAAAAACTAGTGGAAATAAAAAAAAAATCATAACTAACTTCCAGTTTTTCTTCTCACAGCAGACATTTTGATTTATCATATTAGGAAAAGCACAGGTGAAATCATCAGTAAGCCATACCAGCATCCTGAAGCTGGCTCACATAAATAGGTTGCAATCATCATTAATGTTATTAATTACACCTTTGCTCTTCCAGCTGTGACGAGCCAAACTCCCTGCTCTTGAAAAAGGGATATTGTGCATGCTGGCTCACTGTGACACTCATTAATATTAGTATCACCTGTGCGTTTCCTCAACCTGTCCGCTGTTTAAAGGGTCTATTGTTAATAAGACATGGGTGACCAGCATCAACCATTCAGCATATAGTCTCAGTAGTTCACCATCAAAACTGCTAGGGGTGGGAATCTTTTGGCACACCTCACGATCTCGATTACGATTCAGAGGCAACGGATTCGATTTAAACCGGTTATCGTGCATTCTCGGATGCAACAATTTTTTAATGTACATTTTCATGCCTGATTTTACTTCTAGTTATATATGCATATATATAAGTTATATTGACATCTGGAGTTGCTACTCAGGGGAGTTTGCTTAATACTTTTGTGGATATTATTAAACACAAGTCAACAGATGATTACTTTCTCCTATATTTCATTAGAGAAGAAGGTTTTCTTGTCAAAGTGATGGCTCTTCTACTGGAAAATGCAGCTTGCCATTTTAAAAAATATGGAAGTATGTAAAAAAACAATGATCATTTTTTCTTGTTTTTATCTTTCTTTCTGTGTCATTAAACGAAAAGGGCTGCTCTTTTGTTATGTTATTGGTAATAAGTAGCATATCCCTGAGACACCTCGGGCCTGCTCACTTGTTCCTCTGGCTGCCATCGGAACGGCGTCGCTTGTTCCTCCAACCTCTGAGTGGGGTGTGTTGAAATGCTGAGTGCATTGCAAGATGGTGTGATTTCCGAGTATTTAATTGTGATTCTTGACACTTAACACAGGTGTAGGTTTGTCCGTCTTTCCATCGGACCTCAAGAACCCTCAAATGCCATGGGCTGGTGCAGGGCGTATAGGGTTTGTCTGCTCGCAGCCATTTTGTGCGGCCATAATTGTGGATGTAAAAACTCGCAGTGTTTGGTGCCGCCATTGTGTTGGGAGGAGCCGGCAGCAGGAAAGGGAGTTTTTTTCTGTAGCGCTCTGCAGGCCGAAAGTATGTGTGTGGTGTGGTTTATTTTATTGCGCCGCAACTAATTTGAATTTTTATTTTTTTTTTCCTCTCCTCCGTTGTGTGTGTTGTTTTTTATTAATTGCTGTTTTTTTTTTGTTCTGCTGCAGGCGTTCGAAAAAACTCGTCCTTTCTGCTGCGGCTCCGCACACAGATGCGCACCACCTGCGAGTGTTACGATTCCAAAATTTGGTGGCTGTAAATGGGCTGTGTTGTTTATACGGCCTGCTCTTTTTTGCTTTTATGTTTTTTTTGTGTTTTGTGGAGGTCGGGATGGGGACGGACAAGACCTACTTTGTTGTTGGCTGGTCTGGATTCAAATTAAATATGTCTGTATCTTTATTCATCTGTGTGTATGTGAATAATGACCCGTTCCTGATGGCAGCCAGAGGAAACCATTTGGTTGTGTCAGTGGTCTCTCTCTGTGGTCTATGGATATGTATCTTACCTGATAGAGCGCTCTAATGACCAGAAGAAAGATTAGAAAGAAGACAAATGAATCATTTTTTTTTTTTCTTACTTCATATGGTTGTTGAATGCAGCTGTTTTTCTGTAAGTCGATATGGTGACAAGAAAAGCTTTTTCTCCTAAGTAAATATAGGAGAAAGTAATTATCTGGTTGAGTGTTTAATGATACACAAAAGTGATTAGCAAATCTGAGTCAGAAACTCAGATGTGTTTTATATATTATATATATCACATTGCTAATATATATTAATCAGGATGAAAATGTACATTAAAAAATTGTTGCATCGGGATGGCCCTCCCCCCTTTCGATATTCGGGTTTAGATCGAATGGTTGACCTGCATGATGTAATGCGATCGGTGGACGGGTGGCAAAG